CCGCAGCTGCGGGGAGCAGGCGGGGCGTCGGCAGCCGCCTGCATTCGGAGCAGGGGGGCTGGCGAGTGAGTGGGTGCCAGTGGGCTTGGATTTGTATGCGTCTCCAGGAGGTCTTGCCAGTCTGTTCATCTCTTAGCTTCCATCTTCCCTCGCCTCTCCTCCCTCACCTCTCCTCCCTCCTGCACCCCGGTGGAGGCCACCCTGGGTCCGGATGGCGGGGGCCGGCGTCTGCTGGTTTTGAAATCGCGACCACAGCCCACCTGGTGTTGCGGGGAGGCTGGGAGGGGCAGACTGCTTCAGGATGCTGATCAGGCGCTGGGATCCAGCCTATTGTCTTGCCTTTCCTCCCCCTTCCTTTTCTTCTCTAATCACCCCCGCCCACCCCCACCCCCCAGTGGAGGGGGGAGAGAAAGAAAAGGCACCAGCCCACACCCTATCAAACTCCTTTAAAAAACTGTCATTTCTCTGTGACACATGATGATTACCCGTCTGTTTCTTTACACCCTCTCTTCCCTCCTCTAGCAGTTTGTCATCTAAAATTCAACGGATTCAAATGAGCCTTATAAAGATCAGAAATCAAACCTCGGTTTCCAAAATGCACATTTTGTGCTGTGTGAGTGACCTGAAAGGAGGGGAGCAGATGGTTGGAGCCCCCTCCTTTCACCTTTGGCATGTGGGTCCAGCTGGGACCCGTGAGATATTTAACTTGGGCAGGGAGGGACGTCCTCAGGAATGGGATTTGGAAATGGTGTTTCATTTTAAGGGGAACATCGTTGGTCAACAATTGAAGTGAAGGTACTTTAAATGAATACAACCAGAGAAGGGGACTGAAGTGGCAGACTTGCAGCCATCTGCCCACTAGCAAATGAATAACAAATGTTAGTGATTTTTCAAAAGGGGGTGAGACCGTTTAATGTGTTCACTTTATAAGGTTGCACCTTCATTCGCAATGTGATCAGACATTTCTCGTTGCCTGTGGACCTGGATCTTGCCCAAAGCCCCACCCCAACAGAGCTCAGTGAAAGCAAACTTTTCAGTATTAGCATGTTGTCAATACACCTTGGAGCACCACTAACAATAAATCATTCTTTGATCCAAAATCCATAACATTTCTGTAGCAAGCCCTGTGTTCTTTCTTCTCCACCAAATTGCTTAGCCCCGTTAGAAATGTACTTGTCACAAACACACTGCACAACACTGCCTGGAATGACACACCACATGTAGTTTCTAGGCTCTGGCCGAATTTGCTTTAAATATTAGTATAATGCTGGAATTAGCAACCCTCAGCTGTTCTTGAGAGTTTGCAGGTGATTAAATGTGTTTGTTGGCAGAGATTAATGTTCAGATTTTAAATATATATATATATATATGGCTTTGGTAAATATATTTATTACCTATCGTGTTCCACAAGGGATTTAAGACAGTTTACCGGAATTCATAAAGCATAAACTAAGAAGTAGATGGGAAAGACAAACAGGAAACTAAGGGTAGAGACATAAAATGTTACTAAGAATGAGACTAATAGAAAAATACAAGCATAGGACCCGCTACACCAGCGGTTCTCAACCTGTGGGTCGCGACCCCTTTGGGAGTCGAACGACCCTTTCACAGGGGTCGCCTAAGACCATCGGAAAACACATATATAATTACATATTGTTTTTGTGATTAATCACTATGCTTTCATTATGTTCAATTTGTAACAATGAAAATACATCCTGCATATCAAATATTTACATGACGATTCATAACAGTAGCAAAATTACAGTTATGAAGTAGCAACGAAAATAACTTTATGGTTGGGGGTCACCACAACATGAGGAACTATATTAAAGGGTCGTGGCATGAGGAAGGTTGAGAACCACTGCTCTACACCTTTCATGAGGGTAAATAAATCCAACTGTCAATTTTGTAGTAGCTGATGCATAAAGGGAAATTGAGCAGCCCATGACTTGTGTTTTATTTATTTTTCGACTCATTCACTCACTTGTTCACTCAACAAACATTCCACATTCTGTAAGACACAGACATGGTCTCTGCCCTGATGGCACTTACAGACAAATGCAAGAAAGAGACATTCATGATAAATCTCTCCAATAAATATGCAATTACATATTATGTTAAGAGCTGTGCAGGAAAAATACAAACACAAAACATCACATGTCCAGAACATAAAAACACAAAATAACAAAATAAACAATTTTTTTCAAATATGATACCGTGTTTGGAATGATCTTCAATCATGTCTTGGTCAAACACAGGTGGGCTGCCTTCAGCTGTGTTTTTATAATGTCCCTCCATGTGAGCTCAAGATATCACACCACCGGTCTCTCAGGCCCCTAGGGTTCTGAGGATCTATGTCCTTTGAGGGATCTGTGTCTTCTCTAAAATTAGTGGTTTCATTTCAATGATAATCTTACATAATGAATAATGAAAATGTGCTCTGGGTCATCTTGACAGCCACCCCCAAACCAGTGCTGGGCCTGACCCTCGGCATCTTCCCACGGAGCCAGGTCCCAGCACGGATGAGGAGAGGGGAATGGGAACGGGGCCTGTGGGGAGAGAGGTGAGCCTGCACAGGGCACAGGCTTGCCAGACTCCAAAGAACTGTTCCTGGCGACCACGGCTGCCTTGGCAAGGAAAACAGGTCTCATGCCAGCTCTACCCGCATATGGACAGTGTCTCAGCAATTTATTAGCAGCAGGTGTTGTAGTGAAAAAATGGAAAAGTTATTGTTGCTGGTTTCAGCACTAATTGGATTAGATTTCTATTTAATGCAGAGTAAGGAACCCTCTGATAATCCCCCCCTCTGATAATACCTAGCGATGACATAGGTAATTTGGTGCAGTGGTTAAGTGGAGTCAGACTGCCTGACCTCAAATCCACTTTTCTACTTACTAGCTGTGAGACTTCGGGCGAGTTAGTCAACCTCTCTGTTCCTCAGTTTCTCCTTATGATAATATGTGGATAAATATGTGGTATTGATTTTATATGATATTGTGAGGATTAGAGGTAGTACACATAAAAGACTTGGAGCATATAATGAGGTTCAACAAATGTTAGAGATTATTACTATTTTTATTAGTATGAAATGGCACCTCATTTATGTAGTCACTCCAGGATGGTTTTGATAGTATCCTCTTAAATTAGCCACATTTTTGATGTTACGAATATTGTTTTGCACAGCATGCTTTATGTGTTGTCTGCATTTGGATTGTTGAAGTCAAAATCCAGAAAATGATAACGTGTAGTAAGTTGACCTGAGGCTACATCTTTCTTTTGTTAAACCCCAAAAGGTGTTGTAGTTTCAGCCAAACAATATCTGTTGCAGTGAATTCATTTTATTAATTTGACATTTTAAAGTTTGATAGTTGTATTTATTTACATCTTTGTTTTGCCATTTTAGCTATGTAAAAGCTATAAAATACAAGTATTTAGGACTGGCCTTTATGCGTGTAATATTTAAGTTACATTTTAATAAAAGTGAATTAGGGTAAGCTTTGGCCCATGAAAAAACTTTTTCTTTCAAAAGGGATTTCTATGCAGTTTTTTGGCATTTTGAATTGTGTACCAGGTCATACCCAAGATTCTTGGAATAGAATTTTGGATATCTAGAAGAGAAACTGCAGCCCCAATAATTGACTCCATGTACCTTGACTGCCATAGTTGTACCCTGAAAAGATTTTAGGGCAGTAACACCCAAACCTGCCTCTGTCTTCAGCAAGATAAACTGCAGTGAAAGGTTAGCCAATCTTATGAAATGAGGAGGGAAGAAAAGCCTATTCTCTGTGTAGTACAATGTTTAGCTGTATGGATTAAAACACATTTATTGATTTTATTCAAATCTATTTAAAATTTTTCTTTGTACCTCAGTGATCTAAGATTATAAGATATATGTTAGTCTCCCATTATAATCATGTTTTTGGTAGATTTTGATATACCAGTATACCTATCATAGACATAAACATATATACGTCACACAGACATTTATATTTGATTGCCCAGGACTGATGGGTTTCCTGGGATGAGGACTTGCAGCACTAAAACCAAGATAGTGCCAGGCAAAGCAAGATCAAGACAGATCCATTTTAGTTTCAGAAGACAGGGAGAGAACAATGGGCCCTGATTCTTTAAGGACTCTCTGGAAGATATGGTACAGATGGTGCCAACCAACATCAGCCAACCCATGATTCAACAAGGGTCCCTTCTGGGCAAGTTGAGTCCTAGACTATTCCTCAGGCTCACTGCACCAGGCCTGGATGGGTTGTGGCATGATTGGTGGGGACAGGAAGGGGCAGGGCTCTAGGAACCTATCAGCACCTCCACCTTGAGTGTCTAAACCCCCAGTCTGAACATGTGCAGAGGGAGCCCCCAGGAAAGTAGGGCTCTAACATATCCAGCTTAAAGCCTGGTCATTTCTAATTACCCCAACAGTTGTAGCTAAAAATAAAGATACACCC